GGTTTTAGTGAATATTTATATAAAAATACAAGTTGAAACGCGTTACTTCCTTGTGGAATGTGATGTTAGTGTCTATTTTATGTTGGTCTGACGTATTTTTATACTCATTTACCGCACATTTCGTCATTTTTAGCTAAAATTTTTGATCTGTTCGCGGTGCAAGTTGACCTTGAGCACTGAAGGCCCGCCCGCTCGTGTAGGCCCATTGGACGCGCTTCAATTTGCCTCACTTAGCGTGTGCGGACTAGGTTTCTATGCGTTATTATTCTAAGGCTATAGCTATATAAGTAAATAACATAATAGTGGAATTTCGTGCATGCAAAGACATTGTTCAAGGTTGAACATGATATAACCAACGAAGAAACTGCAACATAGCGACCTCGAATAAAATGCTACAAAAACTAGCCTCATCAACAGAACATTCTTATGCAACAAGTGCAGCATAGTCACGTACTATGCCAATTAACAAAAATCAACCTAGTCATCAATAACACCCAACGCACACTAAGAAAACTTATCATAATGTAGTATAAACAAATATTGTATAAATAGTCAGTAAATATTGTAAATAAAGTTAGTTAACCAATACCATCTGATTTTAACTCATCTCCTTGCTTAGTGACGTGCTACCTGCTACTCCTCTCACTGTGGCCAAGACACCTTTAGCCATCAGTAGATCGGTCTTGTGAGTCTGTTTGACCGGCAGTGAGAAAACCATTCCTGTACACATCGCACGACGTGTACATCCTAATTTCCTTCCCAACTTCCGTTTGTCACCTTAGGTCTCCTGTTGACAGACTTCCTTACTTATACTATATATCTCTCCATTTATATATATTTATGGTTAGGTTAGGCTTCACACCGTTAGGTTGTAGGGCTACACTTGATAGATCGTAAGACGACCCTTGAGGTCTCTCTGTTAAATTCTGATAGAGTAGTTATTATCTTACCATAAATTCATGCACAGCAGGCGGTTGGTATTTGCTGCATACAACTACACTACATTGACAGACAAACACTAACACCACATTAAATACCTAACCGCACGCTGTTCAGACATTCTCTATCTTAAAATCACTTACTAAATTAATTATAAAATAAATTGTGGTTGTTCATCTAGCCGATATCTAGGATTTTATAATACTCTATGTGAGTAAAGATTTGCCAAATAAAACTGAGAAATGCTAAAGTCACGTGTTATGTTCATTTCAGTGAATTCAAAACTTAAAACGCTCCCCTGCAAACTTGCCAATTTCGACATACGACACTTTACGTAGGAGGGATCGAAATATGCGTGTCAATAGATGTCATTGTGTGTTACAAACTAATTTACAAATTAAGGCTTCTTAGGCTGCCTTTCCACCAGCGATGTACGAGGTAGCGGCACGGTACGAAGATGCGTTACAGACTTTTTAGTTACGCGCGGGCGGGGTACGGTACTCCAGGGGTTGCTCTTTGTAAATATGCATTTGAATACATTTATCATTTACAATAAATATTTCAAACACAATTAGATCGAGAATACCTCCAAGAGCTAAATGTATAATTTGTTTTGTATAAATAACCTTTAGAATAAAGTTTCAGTTTCACAATAGTTTGAAGCCTCCTAAATGGCAAATTTTGAACATCACCCGGAATATTATTATAGAAGCGTATAAGTAAGTCGTTCCGTGGCTCAGTTGGTATAGCGTCTGACACGATATGCTAGAAGACGTTAGTTCGAATCGAAATTTTTTTCTGAGTGATCGATCTTTGTATTAATAATTATAACAAAGTAGTGGAGTAATCTCTGTCATTATTTTTTTCATTATTATTCTTCTTAACATCAATTACATTTTCATAAATGTACTGTGAGACTAGTGTAAGAATGTTAATCTCGTTAAACTTATCTCTCAAAGACACTCTGGGACCCAAACTGTAAATTGCCCTAACTGCACGTTTCTGTATGACAAAAATGTCTCAAGATGACTGGTGCTTCTCAGATCTTTGCAATTCATAGCTTTGGCTGGTATAGCAACTATGAAGCGTGTTGCTTACCACCAGGCGTACGTGCTCGTTCCGTCACTTACATCATAAAAAAGATCTCATCGTTTGTATAATTCTCAACCATTACAGACTGGAAATAAGTTACATATTTATTTAAGCAAAAACCGTACTTGTGCTCAAATAGGTTCATCGCCCACCGAAAGGGTGGGGGGAAAGACATCCACTGCTATTACAATAGTATTGTAACATAAAATGTGTGAAATTCAAGATTGTACTACCGTATATAAAACCGACGTTAGAATATTAGATATAAAAAACAAAAGATAAGTACTTAATCGAGTTCTTAGGTTTTCGTGATTGTTACACATAGGAAATGAAACTATTATTCCGGATTTAGTCAACCGTGACCATGGGACCTGTAAAAGGCACGAAACGTCGATTTGTTTGAAAAAATAAATAAATATACGCGATTTCAATCTGGAATAATAGTTTCATTTCCTAGATAGGTACTTAACTCAAAATGAGACTAATTTTGAGGGCTTGTTCTAGACAAAAACAGTCGTTATTCACAAATATGAGACTATGTTTTGCCCTATAAATAAGTTGGGAAGTAGAAAATTGTTTAGATGTCTGTAATAAATTTTAACCTGTACATTGACCTACAAATAAATGGACGACGGGTCTAATACAAAAACCACGAAAAAAATGTCCCAAGTCAACCTATTTAAACGTAGTGACATGTAAAGGAATATGAAAAAGCTAAAACGTTGAATTTAAATTGTGATGTCATCGCAGTACCTACTGTCTAATTTTGCTTGCTTCGCTGTCAGTCGAATAAACGAAGACTAAAGCGTGAATGACGCTCTGTATACGATTTTAACGCCCTATAAGTTCGGACACTTTTTAGCGCTGACCCGACGTCCATATAATTGTAAGTCAATGAACCTATACATAAATTTTAATCATCTTTCACGGGAAGTGTGTAATTAGTTTTTCATCGATTATGAAATAATACACTTTTTGAGTTAATACATTATTGTAATAACAGTGCGATATGTTAAAGAACCTAATGGATGCCATTTTTAAGCAAACAGTTTCTAGTTAAACCCTGTAAGAAGTGAATTTGGTTCACACTTAATAATGTTGTCTTTTGCATGGTTATTGTTTCGAACATTAATACTATAAATAGGCACCTAGCTAGTAAAAATATTGAACCAAATAAAACCAACGTCAGTAATAATAAACGTACTAATTTATTAATAGCGTCATACAATTTTAAATCACTTTCCTTCCTTCTCAGCCATTTTGTATCACAATGAGCCATTTATTCCGAACAATTCAGCAACTCATTCGCAAAAATCACAGTATCGACAACCGGTGCTCCTTGCTGTACATTTTATTACATAGGTTTTATAACATTTTTTAAATGTAATAAAACCGTAAGTGGTCTACGGAAACTTCACCAGAAGAGTGAACACATGAATATCCATCAAAGTACGTACTATTTTGTTTCTTATTGCACTTACTTAGGGTAAACTCGTCTCTTTCTCATAAACATTACACGCCGGCTTTACAATATG